ATGGACCCCCACCATGGACACCCCACCATGGACACCCCACCATGGACACCCCACCATGGACCCTCACCATGGACCCCTGAGCCCCGTCATTGGCCCTCCCAGGCCTCCCCAGCTTCATCCCCAGTGTCCCCCCCATCCCCTCGGTGTCCCCCTGTTCAATCCCTCTTCCTGTTCCCTCCCCATCCCCACAGTGACCCTCCCATCTCCAGTGTCCCCGCCATGTCCCCACATGTCCCTCATGTCCCCTCACCATGGAACACATGCTCGAAGCCAGAGGAATCCAGCGCTTTCCCACTGGAGCGCGAGTAGAGCCCAAACCACATGGAGTGGAGATCGGCCCGGAACGCCTCAGCCGAGGGGTACAGCCCTGGGGACACCGTGGGGACATCATGGGGACATGAGGTACAGCCCTGGGGACATGGGGTACAGCCCTGGGGACACCGTGGGGACATCGTGGGGACATTGTGGGGACATGGGGTACAGCCCTGGGGACAGGGTGGAGCATGTGGACAGGAGGAAAGGAGGGACACTGGGGTGTGAACAGGATAGGAACCCTGGGGTGGCACTGGGGGACACTGGGGGACACTGGGGGGACACTGGGAACATTGGGGGACACTGGGGGACACTGGGGGGACTGAGAAGTCAGCATGGGGACACTGTTGGAAGATGGTGATGACAGGGGAGATACTGTGGGGACACTGTGGGGACACTGTGGGGACACCGTGGGGACACCGTGGGGACACTGGGGGGACACTGGGGGGACTGAGAAGTCATCATGGGGACACTGTGGGAAGACGGTGGGGACAGGGGGAACACTGTGGGGACACCATAAGGACACTGTGGGGACATCATGGGGACACCGTGGGGACACCATGGGGACATCGTGGGGACACCATAAGGACAGCGCAGCCCCACCCTTGCTGAGGACAAAGCGCTCCAGCAGCGCCAGGACCGGAGTGTCCAGGGCGGCGTCCAGGAATTCCTGCTGCTCCCGCTGCTCCTCCGCCGTCTCCGTCTCGTCCCGGCCCGTGCGCGGCTCGTAATTATCCAGGAGCGCCAGGAGCCGGGAGAAGGTGGGACGGGCCAGCAGCTCCGGGGACACGTAGGAAAACAGCCTGGAATGGGGGGGATGTGGGATGGAAACCCACAGGGTGGAGGGATGGGATGAGGGAATGTGGGATTGGGATGGGGGATGGATGATGGATGGATGGATGGATGGTGGATGATGGATGGATGGATGGATGATGGATGGATGATGGATGGATGATGGATGATGGATGGATGGATGGATGATGGATGATG